GCAGCTAAAGGTATCCGACGGCCACCCGGCAACGGCCGCGTCAGGAAATATACCCGCACTGCTACGTCTCTCTTTCCAACACACACGGGCTTACGGGAATATCCGCGACTTCCGACCGCGGTTACTCGCGAACGGACGGGCGGATCGCGAAAAGAAAGCTTATTGCACCCCTCGGGGACAGTACCCGTCGAACGGCTAAGTTCGCACCGATTCCGACCGGTGGGAGCGGGGAGGCGAGCGTGATGGATCAGTGTATGATCAATGTATTTCCCTTTTATTAGTTAGATGCATATAATTTCGAAGGATATTTTGAATACACTGGATAAAAAACACATTGGATCTAGAGTCCAGACTCTTGAAAAGGAAATCCGCTCAAATTAAGAGGCTTGGTTCTTGATTTAAGCTTAAATCTGATTAAATCAAGAGTATGTTTTCTTGTCGATGTTTTTAAGAGTCCGGACTCTAGATCCAATGTGTGTGTGTTTTTTTTTTCAGTGTATTTTTCTGAGGATTTATGAAATATTTCCCATGTTTCAAGCCTTTATTCCTCGTGTTAAATTGCAACCCTGCAGATTTATACTCCTGTCGCTGTAGACTGGACGGAGCCCCAGGTCTTAGGTCTAGCCAGATAAGGAGTAAGAATTATCACACGCTAGAGGCTGGGCATGGAAGTCCGTCATTGCCCATTCAAGTGCCCTTAATGAATATTAATGAGAGTTCGGCTCATGCTTCGGTCAGACGAACCACCAGTGGCATGGCGTGAATTGCGATATATCGATTTTTATGTCATTTAAAGCCATGGAAAAGGATCGATAAACAGGGTGTTTGGAGCGAACGCCTTAATAATCGATTCTTTACCATAAGTTTAAATGGCAAGTTTTTAATCGATACATCGAATTTCACGCCAAGCCACTGCTAACCACGTGCTGGAGTCGCGGGGAGATGATGCAATTTCACGACGATTAACGGTAGCGTCTGTGCTGTGCGCCGCGCCGTGTCAAAGGTTAAAGGGTGCTACGATGCTTACGTAAGGGCTCTTTTCGAATCCCGAGCGGCCTCTTACAAGGGAAGAGCCGAAAACGGCTATGTTAAAAAAAAACGGCGAATGAAAATTCGAATGTTGCCAACTTTCCTCTCAGAAAATGTTAGTTTTGAAGAAAATTCTAAACATTTGGACCGCGTTTAACACACTGGAAAAAAAACACATTGGATTTAGAGTCCAGACTCTTAAAAACATCGACAAGAAAAAATACTCTTGATTCAATCAGATTTAATCAAGAACCAAGCCTCTTAATTTGAGCGGATTTTCTTTTGATTCGAGCAAAAATCCGATCGAATCAAGAGTAATTTTTCTTGTCAATGTTTTCAAGAGTCTGGACTCTAGAGCCAATGTGTGTTTTTTTCCAATGCAGAAAGGAACTAAGCCACATCAGCTATTGCCAAATTTAACTGGGCAATTTAATTATCTACGAGATAACGTTAGTGTGGATTCCTTTGAAAATTTTGAGGAATTCGCTTCATACTATGCAGAAAATCCACTAAAGTTTGCACGAAAATCCGCACAACCGTTTTCACGTAAAAAATTAAATTTCGTATTCCATAAGAGGAGCTGGGATCAATTTATTTCTAGACTTCACTTTCAAACTTTCAAGACTGGTTTCCGCTTCCACACATTTGGACCGCGTTAAACAGAAAGGAATCAAGCCACACCAGCTATTGCTAAATTAATATAGACAGTAAATTTCTTACGAGAGAACGTTTGAGCGGATTTCTTTGAAAATGTGAACGAATTTGCTTCGTATTTTGGAGAAAATTTACTGTTTGCACGAAAATCTGCATATTCGTGTAAAAAATGAAATTGTCTAATTAAATTTATCAATAGCTGATGTGGCTTGGTTCCTTCCTGTCTAACGCGATCCATTTTTCCTCGAAATTTCCTGACTTTTTAGATAATTTATGAACGAAATCCTCTGAAAACGGAGGATGAATATTCCCCAATTTTCCTGGAAATTCGAGTTTTGTTGAAAGAAATTTGGAAAAGCCTCGTAGCTCATACGGCGTTTGTACTCAGCACGGTTGTTAAAATGGACTACACTTTGCAATTTGGAACTGTAAATTCTAGCCCGGTTTAAAAACAACGTATGCGCCATTTGTCTCCCTATGCACATAAGTTTTTTTTCCGGAAGAGCCAGAATTTTTAGTTCCAAATTGCAAAATGCGGTCCAAACGGAAAGCACCGCGCCCGGCTGTCTTTTCACGGGAAAAAGTTCGAGTTGGAAAGTTCGGGTGAGAGTTGAAGAGGATAGAACCTCCTCGAGACCCCGCATTGTCCATTCAAGCAGCGTAAATACAAGTAGATAAAGCAAAAGTTTTTTCCCGGAATTTCAGAGACTGCGTATTTTGCTAGGACGGTGCTTGTACTTCGTGGAGAGTGGGGTACGATAAAAGACGAATTATTTTACTGCTGGCATCAAAAGATAAGTTATTCGAAGGACGATTTGATAATATTGATCAATCGATAACTTCTGGATTTTAGGGCATTTTACTCTGAAATCCTTGAATGTCACACCATGCTAAAATTTGCTAGGTATTTGCATGCAAGATTTGACCGAGGAACACTTCAAAGTAACTCCAAAAGTGCGTCCCAAAGTAATTATTGCAGATTGTTTTTTCTCTCAATTTGGGGTATTTAGTCGAGCATTTTCAAGTCATTCCAAGATGTTTCAAAGTCAAATTTTAAATATTAATGCATGATGTACTAAAGCGAGATGTTACTTGCGGGGATTTAAGACATAAAAAATCTTAAAATCCAGAAATGCTCAAAATTGATCGATCGACTATCAGAATGTTCTGCAAAATGGCTCAGGTCTACCTTAACTGACTCTGAAAAAAATAAGTCTCTTGGATCCAGAGTCCATCCTCTTGAAAAATTTGACGAGAAAAAATCAATCAGATTTTTTCTTGAATCAAAAGGCTATCTGCTTCAAGTATGAGGCTCTCTCGCTTCAAAAAAAAATCCGATTAAATCAAGAGTGTTTTTTTCTTGTCAAATTTTTTAAGAGTTCGGACTCTGGATCCAAAAGACTTATCTCCCAAGTGAATGTTCTGATTTCTATTTTTTTCTCCTTAATTGCGCCAAGTCGCAAAAACCTCGATTATGTGCAAAAACTATTCAGATTATCATATTTTTAATTACCTGGCGGGAAATTTTTTGGTCGTCTGAAGTTTTTGAAGACGTATGCGAAAAGAATTGCAACCAGGAAGGTGACAACATAAATCATTTTTTTAACGCAGGTTTTTCATCCAAAATATCCGTTCCCTGCGTTAATATTTCTGCTCACTACCCGATACAATTGAAGCCGCAAAAGTCTTTCAACGCGACGTGTTATTAAGCCCCCGAAACCAATCCAGTACAAAGTAAGCACAACACTGTGTCGTTAAACTGTACACTAGAAGGTGCATTCTCATGCGATGGACCTACCTCAGTAAAAAGAAAGGTCAACGTAATAAATAAATAAATAAATAAAATGAAATTTAATTATTTTTGGGGGGAAAGAAATGAAGATATTCGCTGCCGCAGGTAAAAAATCGCGCAAATCACAATCAGCTGAATATTCGACACCACAAATCACGAACTACAGAACATTCACATTCACTGAGTTGTAGAGACCGACAAAATGAATGATGACTAAAAATAACGCACAAAGAACAAAAAAGCGACACCGCAAAATTGTATCGAATGTGTGAATGAATACGAGTAATATAATCACGAAATTTTATGCGCTATGAAGACTATAAAAAAACAAAATCACAATCTTAAAAATTTCATTCCCAGCGTTCACAGAATAAACTCCGGACTCAATTTTAAAATCTATCAGAGCGGGAGACAAAGCCGCGACGAGTCGCTGAAAGGTCGCGTGTCAATGACCAGTGAATTTCAGCCGGGACGATCGAAATTTCAGCCGTGGTGGGCCCGGCACTCGGTTAGCCCGACCATTAACTGAATTCGCGAGGTGATGAGCGCCCAGTGAATGTTGGGCGCCCGCCAGGTTTATATAACTCATTCGGAGAGTGGGAATCCATCGCTTACATCTCCAGGCTTTTTTCCGAACGATGATACAGCTTATCGATATTTCTCGACCTATTTCTACGACTCATTAGGTTATGAGAGTGATGTCTATGCGGTATTCCCCAAAGGTGTTCACCACTCAGTAAGGACCATGGATTGTCCAACTGGTGTTACGTAATTTTACTCAGTGATACGTATTAGGGATCGCAGTCAATTACGTAACACCGGGGACCGTATTCATGGCTCCTCTAACTTTGATGCCTTTTTAAAGAGACAAACCTAATTTAAGGTGATTCGATGCACTGGAAAAAAACACATTGGATCTAGAGTCCAGACTCTTAAAAACATTGACAAGAAAAAATACTCTTGATTCAATCGGATTTAAGCTTAAATCAAGAACCCAGCTTCTTAATTTGAGCGGATTTCCTTTTGATTTAAGCTTAAATCTGATTGAATCAAGAGTATTTTTTCTTGTCAATGTTTTCAAGAGTTTGGACTCTAGATTCAATGTGTTTTTTTTCCCAGTGCGATTGCCATTTTTTTTGTGTCAGAGCGACGTGAATTCGTTCCATAATCTTAGCAACTTGTCATTTTTTTCGAATTCCGTGATGACACTTTTGTTTTCATGAGACTAAAGAATTCATGTACCTTTGAAAAAGAAATTCAACGTAATAAAACCTACCTTTATCTTTATTTAAAGTCTGCCTTTAATACGTAAAATTTCTTTGTCAAATTTGGTACATGAATTCTTTAGTCTCATGCTCTCAAGACAACAGAAGTGCGATCTCAAAATTCGAAAAAAATGACAAGTAGCTGAAAATATTGAAAGAATTGATGTGATAAATCGCATGTCGCTCTGACACAAAAAATGGCAACCGCCGAATCACCTTAAGGCATAGAGAAAAAAAAGGAGGTGTTTGCATCTGAGGCTTGTTTACCCCGTGACGTAGGTCGGTACAGAATGGCCAGCAAAATCTGGAATTCGAAGTATGAAAAACGGATCATGAAATCCGATTTTTTTGCTTCAAGTTGATATAATTTCAGAAATTTTATATACAACGAATTTTTCCACAAACGACATCATTTCGGAGGAAATCGATGATAAAAATCGTCCGTACCGACCTACGTCATCAAAAAAATCCAAGATGCCCGAAATGCAAGCACCTCCTTTTTTTTCTCTATAAAATTAAGGAGAAGGCACAAAGAGTAAGAGGGTAGAGGATCATTCGTCGATTTGAAGTGACTTTCACGGATTTTCAAAGTAAATCAACGATTTTCCTCCGTCTAAGCCCTTGATCGGTTGATGTAACTGAAAAGGCTACTTTACTTGAAAATTCGATTTGCCGAAAGACTATAGTCGATACCGGAAAAGAATAAGATTATTGACGGCATTAGCAGAAGAAATTAGGTTAGAATAACACCATTACTCGCTTGGAAAAAGAAACGTTCAACATTATTTAAGGCGTACAACGGTCTTTACATTGTGATACAAGGGAACTCCCTCCTCTTTCGGAAAACTCTATTTTTGACTGTTTAGCGCCTTATTAATGTTAAACGTTTCTGTTTCCAAAGAATACATAGGTTATTCCCACCTAATTTTTGCCGCTGCCGTAGGTAATCTGAGTTATTTCTGGCATATACTAGTTTCTCGGCAAATCGAATTTTCAAGTAAAGACGCTTTCCAGTTTTTCCAGGAAAATCTCTTCGTTTGGAAAACTCGATTTTTATGAAAGTCCTTGAAAAAACTGCAATCATCTCCGGCTTCAGCAGCAAAATTTAGGCGAGATATGTCTTTTTTGTGCGATCTTTAGGTAGTAATATACCGTCGTGTAAGAAAATAGAATGCGAAATAGACTCATTTAAATCAAAAAGAACTATGACTATTGTGAGATGAGCCCTGTCACGCACCATACATGTACTTATATGGATATCAGGGCTCTTTTCGTAATGGATAAGGTTCTTTTTTACTTTAATAGTCCAAATAATAATGCAATACTACACCACGACGCGACGCGACGCGACTCACGGTGGCAGCAGTAAAGTTCCGCTCCAATGTTAACTCTCCAAAAAACGCCTTCAAATGAGAAGGTATGCATTTTCAAGACAACCAATTCCTCGCTCGTCTCAGGCAAGGCTAGTGAGTAATAATGCTCAGCGTAAGATCATTTTTTTAATGAATTATTATGCATGCAGGAGATTCAGCAGGGGTGTAGAAAGTTTCAAACCGCCCTCTCAATGAAATTTACCAACCCCATTAAAGACCCAAATTCATATACAATTTCCCTTGCGAAGACAAAAAAAAAAAAGGAAAGGCGAGAAAATTGGAAAGATAGGATGAAAAAAAGAGCTACCCAAAAAATTTACTTTTCCTCCTCTTGAGTGCCGTTGAGGAAAAATTCGAGAGAAGGAATCCGATGAGGTACCTATCCCCATTTTTTCAGAAAGAAAGAAAGAAAAAAAATATGGTCGTTAAAAAATCCCTCCTGGTATACTTATACTAGTTATAGGCAGCAGCCACCCGTCGTTTTCCATTTTTTTCGGGGGGTTGTCAACTTTTTAGGGGAAGTTTTTTAGGATCGGGCCGGGATGGCTACCGCCGCCTAGAACCTACCCTATTTATTGTAGCTGAGCGGTTTAGTTCAGACAGGCCCAGCTCCCTTCCCTAAAGTATTATTTTCCAAAAAATATACTTCTCCCCTTTTTCTCTCCGAGTCGTAGGATAACGTTTCATTTCAGCCCCCTTTCCTCTAGTAAAACACAGCGCGACGTAAATTCTAGCTCTCTCGCAACACTGAACGAAGCATAAACCTTCCCAAAACGTAATTAAGTACAGGATGGCTAAATTTCATAAAAAATAAAACTGAGAAATTTCAAAAATATACTAAAAAAATATTGAAAGATGTTTCGGAACGTGGATCATCAGCTCAGCAAAAAAAATATTTAAAGGCTGCAGAATTTCATGAGAGGCATTTTATGAACATTCGAATGTTGTCAAATGTCTCTAGATAAAACACTATTTCGAAGGAAAGTTATGAATATTTTTCCGTGGAAATTTCAGATGATTCAGTGCGAACAAACTTCACGGAAAAATTAGAGGGAAGACTATTCAACATTTTGCCAGGAAACCTTTGTTTTATCCATCATATTTAGCAACAGCCGAAGTTTCATACGGCCATTCGTTCTTTAGCATGACAGTATAGTTTTCATCCCTAAACTCTCCTTAAGAACGGATGACGTTCAATAGCAGGTACATACAGCGTATGTTTTGGACCGCCGCGCCGCGTCGCTTAGAATCGAAAGCGTTGCCAGTCCGCCTTCAAACTTGGCGATGCAACCCGATCTCACACCGAAGTTAATTAAGTGGTATCCATCGATTGGCCATATTCCGGATGTCTTTACGTAGCTTGAGGACCCAGAGTTATCAATGAACTGACAGACACGCATAGCCATTCAGGAAAAACGCCGTATGAACATTCGAATGTTGCCATATTTCTCTCAATAAAGTACTATTTTTTTAAAGTTTTGTAAAGTTTCGTATGATTTTCATCGGATTATGCACTGGAAAAAAAACACATTGGATCTAGAGTCCAGACTCTTAAAAACATCGACAAGAAAAAGTACTCTTGATTCAATCAGAATCTAGCTTAAATCAAGAACCAAGCCTCTTAATGTAGGCGGATTTCGTTTTGATTCAAGCAAAAATCCGATTGAATCAAGAGTATTTTTTCTTGTCAATGTTTTCAAGAATCTGGACTCTAGATCCAATATGTTTTTTTTCCCCTCCAGTGTGAACAAACTTCAATGATATAAAATTGCAAGAAAGGATATTACAAATTTTTCAGGAAATCTGTGTTTTATCAAGGAAAATATGGCTATAGCCAAAGGTTCAAACGGCGTTTTTAAAGTAATTTTTTCACTCCGAGAAAAAGGAAAAATATCCGGAGATATGTGAAAAAATTAAAGATTTTTGGGTTTTATCCAGCATAGGTTGCATATCCCGCCCCCGAAATGAATGTTTCATGCTTTTCAAAAATTACAGTTTGTGCAATTTGAATGGAACATCACACTAAAATCCTGAGAAAAAAAAATGTGGAAAACCATCTCGAACCGGCAACACAGCGTGAAATGATCACTGGTCTCGGATGGTTTCGGCAATGTTCGTGTGCGCATGACCCAATCCCGAATTGAGACGAAACTTTTGAACGAAGTTAGTAAATAAAAAATCGAGGTGTTGCTCCAGACGGATTGATGTGTATATCCTCCTCTCCATTTATCTCCACTTCGAGAACGTTTATTTCTGAACTTAATCGTTGCATCTACTTGAGTGTTTTCTGGATAGCTACCGTGTTCTTCCGTTCGCGTTCGTGTTTGTTTACAATGGTTATCAATGAGAGTTTGAGGTTAAAAGCTGAGAGAGCACTGTGAGTGAATGAACTATGAATCCATTTATAGTATTTTCAAACCACTAGAGTTATGACTCCTCTTCCTTTCATGTGAAGTGTTGTCTTTCCATCGTTCTTTACGCGTTTTCAATCGTATTGAAGCCTTAAGCCTTTCAGTTATTTCATATTTCCTTGATAGTGTGCACCACCACCTACACTTGTACCCAATTGCTCTCGTTTTCATTTCTAATTAATTCTGCAGGCCATAAGGCCTGTCATAAAAATAATACTTGAATACATCGTTTTTTCTTCTTTGGAGTGCGTAGTGGCTTCAGTGGTTTAATTGTTTTCCGGTCTTGACATGTTGAATCTACGCGCTGACCCAGGTGTGTCTAAGTTTTTCTTTGCGGACGGTGTATGAATTGTCTTGGCGTTTCCACAACACAGCGAATAGCTCAGAACGTTAATCAGCAACTGGTGAGTAGCTCCCTTCAACTTTATTGTATTATCATGCCATGCAACTACATAGACACCCTGAATTGTAGTGTCAGAGATGCTTTCAGTGCAGTAATAACAATGAGCGCTGAAGCAATGATTAGCTGAAGTCAAATACACTTCGTATCATTGATTCAAGTGCATATTTCTAACTGGCCAGTTTTTAGCTCTAGATCGCTCACTAATTACCTCACCATGCAAATAACAGCATTGTGTTTGCATTTGTGAGTTAGCCAGGCTACGTACGCAATCATTATGTTTGTTGAAATAAATTAAGTGTTGGCTACTTTGAACGGCAATGAAGTAACAGTCAGTTAATATTGATATAAGTATGGTTGGCGGAGAGTTATTTGAAAATCATCATTTCTCCAACTGAGTCAATATTTGTCTCTTGTCAAAGCATAATGAATTAGCTTATTTCGGAAAATGTTGCGGCAGATAAATGGTGCAAATTTTTGTAGGAGACACGGGATAAGATCCAAGTTGGTAGTGTAAAATTTTGTGATTGGTAGATCACTGAATTTCATTGTCTTGAGTGTATAAGGTGGTTTATTTGTATTTTAAGCTGTCAGTACCTCCCTTCAAGATCTATTATCAATCAATATTGGACATAACAAAGTTTCAAGACTAATATCAAGCATTAGAAGCAACTAGTCTCATCATTCAATTTCAGCACTGTTTCATCGTGTTCAATCACCGAGGATAATATTTCAACAATCAATCTGCCGAAGGACATCATTAGGCTTCATGTTCAGCTTTTGAATGCTGTGTCCAATCAGTCATTCGCCGATTACTTTTTTAGGCAGTAAATGCATTCAGCATCATTTTATAATTGACATATTATGATAAGGTATATAGTCAGGGATGCTGAAAATGATCGAGCACATGAGCCGGAGCTCGCGTAAGGCGTCAGTATATCGGAGAGCTCATGAGAAAATTTTCCAATGAGGAGAGCTTTATTTCAAGTTTTAGGAGAAAATGAGAGATACAAAACAGAGAAAGGAGCTGACTTTAGAAATTGTTATGTTGAAAGCCTGTAACAATTTTGCAGAGGGAGAACATTTTGAAGTTGAGATTGCGACTTATATTTGCCTCTATGATTTTCTGCACCGAGGGACTAAAAATAAGCGTGGGCCCCTGTCAATGAAAATCTTTGTATACTTGTTTTCTATCTTCAGTTAAATGAGTTAGTTACATTCAATCAATTGGAAACCCTATTACAAACGATTACAGGAATTTTTCCCCTCTACTCTTGGTGAAATTCAATGTGATGGACTCCACTAGTTTCGAATTAAAGAACTAAGTTTTACGAAGTAAGAAAGGTGCTTGATTTTGTTCCTTCTCCAGCATCATTTGGGTCTAAATTTTATTTTGCTATAGCTAGTTAGAATATTTTTTAAAAAAATAGGGAACTAATAATATAATAGTAAAGTAAAATAGGTAGAATTGCCATTAACACCTCATCCCAGTGAAGAGCTGGGATGCAGCCACTATCTTCTTAAATTATATTCTTATTTCTAATCTTGTCTGAGTTCAATCGATCAAATGAAGATTATAAGTAACTATTCTGCACTGCAATCATTGCATATAAACATCATACCACTAACATGTACATTATCCGTTTTAATATGAACTGCAGTTGTATCTAAGCTCATGAAGGATGCTTGATTAATTTTTGAACTGGATATGTTCAGTCCCAAATGGACTGAATGCGAGTGAAACTGAAATAGTTTTGACTTCACTTTAGAAAAAAATTCTTCCTGTAAAAGAGCTTGTCTAATAGGTGCACCTTTTTTGGAGAACCCAGGGATTTCGTTCAAATGTAGCTTAAACAATACCTTATGATAAGACAAGCCACTCTTGGAAGTTTATCTTGAATTCAAAGCTCTGTTCGGCAATAAATTGTTGCGAAATTACATTTTTTACCAGCGACAAATGCTAATTTTTTGAAGTTCCTCGGTTGAAAAAGAACTTCAGTTGATCCCTGTTTGCTCATTATTATCAGTTGATGTTCATGTATTTCAAGAAATGAAGAAGGATCAAGTAGGTGAGTTTTTTTTTTCAGCGGAGGAACTTCAATACAGTTTTTCAATGGTAAAAAATGTAAACTTTGCAACGCCTCATTGCAAAAACGAGCTTTGAAATCTAGCTAGATATCGTTCAGGCCACTTTTGAACAAAATTCTTTAGTTCCCCATAAAGGGCATAAAGAGGCTCTTTTTTTTAGAGACTGTTAAAAACCTCTAGCTGCTTTACTCCAAAATCCTCGTGTATCCCCATTTGGAAAATTTCATCGCACTTTTGTCAAATCTGTGTCATTTTTGTCAAAAAGTGTTCATCCTCTCCTCGGCCGAATGTTCTGTTCATACTTGCTGAAAGGGAAAACCTTCAGATCAATTTTCCCAGAAAAGCTCAGAGGTATGCTGCCATGCCTAGGAAAAACACCTTATGAGCCTTCAGGTGTTGCCATATTTCTTTCGAAAAAAAAATCAAATTTATTCGGAAAATTGTGAATATTTTTCTTCAAATCTTCCAACGATTTTGTTCGCACTTTAGTCAAAAATATCTGAAAATTTCAAGGAAAAATGTGCACAACTTGTTTCAAAAATACATGTTTTATCCGAGAACATTTGGCAACTTTCGGATGTTCCTATGACGTTCCTCAGGGTGTATAGCATCAGAATTTTCCCGATTCTATCAGGATTTGAGGAAAAATCGGTCGTAAAATCAGGATTTGAGAAAAATCGGCCGTCCGCTTATTTTCCGTTAATTATCCGTTATCCGTCCGTTAATTTTTCTCCGCAAAAAATAAGGATTTCATTAGGATTCGGAAAAATTATGAAATCAGGATTTAACAGTCAAAAATCAGGACAAATCAGGATTTCCCAAAATGAAAAAAAACTACGACACCCTGTTCCTCCTTAGCGGGACAGTATGGAGAAGTATGAAACTTTAAAATCTTCAAAAACGTTGGATTGTCGCGAAGTTTCACGAGGAGTAGCCAGTGCAACGAAAGAACGGAATTACGAAGGTGGTTCGGACCGTGTTTGGAATGAGCGCACGCCGCTTGTTGTATAACGGGAGATTAATGATGCAATCCTTAATTAATTATCAGTCAAGAATCATTAATTCTGAACTAATACACGGAGGATGATGCAAGATTTTACCCAGGATAAGGATGAGTCCGGGAAGCATCAAATTATGCCCCGGGAAATCTTGAGAACTTGGATAATTCCCCCTTTGAAAAGATGGAATTCCACCGAAAAAGCTTTCGCAGTGATATTACAAACTTTCTCTGAACTGTGGTGAAGGGGGAGGGAGTAGGATTAATGCAGTTTTCACTGCAGAGGGAAGGGGAGGGGGGAGGGAAGCACACCGTCCTGCAACTTTTTAATTCTCTAAATTTTTTGTTACGGTCGCCGTGCACTGGAAAAAAAACACATTGGATCTAGAGTTCAGACTCTTGAAAACATTGACAAGGAAAAAAACTCTTGATTCAATAGGATTTTTGCTTGAATCAAAATGAAATCCGCTTAAATTAAGAGGCTTGGTTCTTGATTTAAGCTAGATTCTAATTGAATCAAGAGTACTTTTTCTTGTCGATGTTTTTAAGAGTCTACACTCTAGATCCAATGTGTTTTTTTTCTAGTGTAAGTATTGCTTAAATCGGTATTTTACCACGCACTGTACTCAAAATTATCATAACAGTTACTAAAACAGTTTCGAAAGAGAGAAAATTAGCCGCCCAGTCCTGCCTAAAATAATAGCCGCCTAATTTTGCGTAAAAACGGAAAATTTCATGGAAAACCTGGAAATGTCAGGGAAAAATTGTCAGGTCACCTTCATTTTCTTTGTGTAATGCGTTCGACGTTTCGAACAACAAAGTCTGCCTGAGAACCAGGCCCGCCACAAGGGGGGAATACTGGGTCCTTGGTACCGGGGCCCGGGCCCTGGGGGGGCCCGTGACGCAGGTGACGAACCACTACGAATTCATGTGTAACCCTTGTCTCGTAGGGAAAAGTGAAAAAATTACCCTAAAAATTCCGCAAAAGGTGAATAAAGTTTCAAAAACACGCTAGGGCACTATAAAATTTTTCTTACTTTTTTAGAGATTTTCAAGATTTTGAGTATATGTAGAATGATATTTTTAGTAACTGTGTTTCATTTTCTTCCGTTGTCGAATGCTAAGAGGCTCCTTTCTGGGCATTCTCGACTTCAATGGCTTAACTCCCTTGCCATAGACTTACGAAAGGGGAGTCCAGGGGGGCCCGGCTCCCCATAGAATTGAAAATTATCATCTGCCCCCTCAAAAAACAATTTATAGATGTTTTCAATGCAACAATTCGAAAGTTTTTGGTGCTGAAAGTAAACAAAAAGGCGTAATTATTCTGCAGAAATTGATGGAAAATCTCCATCATAAGAGCTTCATAATGCGTCCAAATAGATTTAAAATTTCAAAAATTTCCCGGGGGAGGCCCCCCGGACCCCCCCGTGCTAGGGGCCCGGGCCAGAAAATTGGTACCAGGGCCGGAGATGGGATGTGACGGGCCTGCTGAGAACTATTTCAAATCATGTCTTTTTCAATATCTACCACATCCTCAATTGTCAGTAAATTTTAATAAAATTTGGCACACAGGAAAAAAAAAGAAAAAAAAGAACATATTGGATCTAGAGTCCAGGCTCTTAAAAACATCAACAAGAAAAAATGCTCTTAATTCAATCAGATTTAAGCTTAAATCAAGAACCACGCCTCTTTATTTGAGCGAATTTCTTTTTGATTCAAGCTTAAATCTGATTGAATCAAAAGTATTTTTGCTTGTCAATGTTTTCAAGAGTCTGGATTCTAGATCCAGTGTGTTTTTTTTCAGTGCAAATATATCAGGGAAATGTCAGGGAGGTTCTTTTTCGAAATTTTGTGGCAACCCTGCTTCGGAAAATACACTAAAAATACTGCGAAATCAGCTCTTTAAGTACCGTCAGAGG